AGATTAGAATAAACAGGAAACATGTTCCATACGTGTGGAACAACTGCTTTAATGGGTGACTTAAATCGAGCTGATTTGATCTTAGATGCTCAGGTTGGAGCTCAGTGTTGGCGCTCCAACTTCGTTTTGAGTTTCTGCTGTGAACATTTTCCCAAGCTCAAGTTGAAGCTCAGGGTGGAGCTCAAGTTGGAGCTCAGGTTGACTCTGAGCAAGCTCAGGTTGAAGCTCAAGATTGCCATTACATACCTGCTGTAGGCTCCAAAATTAGGATTTATTTCCAGAAATATTGAAGAATTTAAGAAAAAGTGCAGACAAATTTGGGCGAGAAAGTCTAGAGGTGAAAGATTTAAATAAATATGCTTCCTACATTTCCATATAAACATACATTATTGTAAATTATTATTTTGTTACTCAATTCAACGAAATTTGTCATATCACATTCTGGTAAAGGCACCTGTACCTGTGCATAATTAACCTATTAAATCCTGTATTCACCCATAAATTGCATATTTACCTGTAGCACCCAATGGATGCCCTTTGGATATTAATCCACCGCTAGGGTTGACAACAAACTTGCCACCATATGTGTTATCACCTCGGTCAATGAACTCACCAGCTTTACCTATATCATACAATAATACAGATGTATGGAAATTACGCACAGCATACTGTATCAGTACGAAAGGTAGCAATCTTATTGAAATTTTAACTTTTAAGTGTTGGCTCTGAAAACACATAACCCATTTTTACTTGTCATGAGTTTTTTAGTTCACTGATGCTACACCTTGGATTAATTAATAACATTGCTTGTTCAACCTGTTAATTTAGCCAAGACCCAACCAAGTTTTCATTCTGCCACATTTTAATGGTATTAGTTTTTCTTAAATATACAGGTCATTGTACTTCAGTTTTGCTTTGTCCTAAACAATAACATTAGCACATGTTTTTTCCACGTTCTATAATTATATATATTTAATGTGCTATTTGTGATATTAGTTGCATGAAGTATTATTTCTGTTTTTTGTTTTACAACCATACAATTACTCTCTGTAGTAGATTTTCGTGTCGAATAAAAAAAATTATTGAATGTCTTTTTCAAATGAAAAAAACATTTACACACATGTATTTGATTGATATATACATTGAAGGAGAATGTGATGTACTCATAAATCATGAATACTGGCATGAGGTGCACTGTACAACATAGCCAGACACTGAAGTAGAAAAATGTTCAGCTGAATTTAGTTGCATAGTCGTCACATGATTAGATCAGAAATCATACCTTCTCCACAAAGACCCAGTGCTTCATACGTGACTAACTCGTTTGCAGAGAAACAGTCATGCAATTCAACAACTTGGAAGTCATCAGGTCGCAATCCTGTTTTTTTATAAAGATTATCAGCCGCTCTTTTGGTCATATCATAACCAATCTGAAAGTGAAAACAAATAAAACTCAGAAAGAACTCTCAAGTGCTGAGGGCATCAGGCACATGAAGTACAAATAGGAAATATTGTATAAAGCAAAAATTTTTACATTATTAATTAGCTATTCGAGCAGATTTACTTCTAATAAAGCAAATATAACTGTGAGCAGCGATCAGGATGTTTTTTATGGTTTAACAATTATAAATATTTAATGAAATCATGACTACATATGATGACATGATATTTCAGTCATATATCTATCCTGACAACACAATTACAGTACTGGTACTACCGTAGTTGCATGTCCTTATCTGCAACAGTACTTAAAATATTACCCATTTATACTCATTTATACAAAGTAAGTAATTATAAAGATGCTTGGATTTCAACCCTGGAGTAATCTGTGGATTATCCAAAAGCACCTAATTTATGTCGTTTCAATGAAATTTGATGGTAGATACTAGAGGTATCTGTGCAACACCTACATATTGGTTATTTATGCAAATTAGGTAATTAGTAAGCACAAAAAATAGCCCTAAACATGCATATGGCTTATCTCAAAGCACCCATGGACATTGAAATCTGATGAGCAGATAAGAAAAAATATGCAAATTAGGTTATTTTTATGCACAGATTACAACCAGAAAATAAACAGGTCTGTGAATTGTTCCAAACCATCTATGTATCCAGTTTTATTGGAATCTGTTATTAGGTAGTTTTTAAAAAAAATGAGTAGGCTCGAACTCAAATTTGCACAGATTTCAACAAAAACCTTAGCAGGTCTGCACATTATCTCAGAGCATTCATGTAACAAGGTAAATACATGTATGATACACACACACCTACATACTGTATACCAATGAACATAAATGGTCTTACCAATTTCATGGAATTTTTATCTTCAAATGTACTAGGTAAATCAGTTGCCATTTCCATTCCCACAATTTCCACTGCTTGTTTTTCCAGACCATGTTTTCTGACATAATCTTCACTGGCAAGAATGGCTGCAGCACTGCCATCAGAGGTGGG